CAAATAGCAAACACTGAAATATGGACAAATGGACGCACTGTAGAGTTTTTTTGTTCCAATTTGACTTTGGTGATGCTTTCTGATTGAAAAAGGTTTTGTTGCCTTGAGGTTGGAACAATTGAGCTTTGCTTTTGCTCCTCATGTTCTTCTCAACTATGGTCCCACAAACATGAACCTAAATCCATACTTAAACTGACAGGTATCCATACTCAAACATGCTACTTGCACAGATGCTACTTGCTTACTAAACTGACAGGTATTCAGAATTTAAATTCATACTTAAGAACGGTGCAATTTCATCCCATTGTCATCACACATCACTTTTGCTGATACAATCTTCCAAAGACAAAATGTTCTCCAATATTTCTTTCAACATACTCAGATAGATTATGGAACCATTCTGTATGCAGAAGCCTCTTTTGAGTCACACTGCCTCTGCTTTGAAGCCCTAAATCCCCAAATCTTCTACCACTCAAACCTTTTCATTTTCTCCACTCAGAAAGCATCGATCTCAATTGAATGTCAGGAACACTACACATTATCTGCTACTTTCAGATTTTCATGGAAGTTCAACGGTGAAGCTTCTTTTATGTCCTTGGTCAATTAGGTTGCTTAGAGAGTATTGTCCTTGGTCAAGGAAGAAGAACAGACACTTGTTAAAAGGAAATAGTTGTATGCATCAGTTGCCTCTGTTTCTAATTGAATACATAATCAAAGAATAGCCTTTTATAAAGTTGTAACACACCCTCTGGTTATAACAACTTCTTCTACCTTTCGTGGGATCCTATTTCGTGGGATTTACCTGCTCACATCACGGAATTACCCTTCGTGGGATTTACCGTTAACAACTTCTTCTACCTTTCGTGGGATCCTATTCACATCACGGAATTACCCTTCGTGGGATTCACAATTTACAACTTCTTCAAACTTCATCGTATAATCGGACTTACTATAGATTCATGCTAACAACTGAGTTGGTTAGACTCGACATTATAGGCTGAGATAAGGGAAAATTACTGCACAAACTCCTCAACAGAATTGTAGAAAATCAGTGAAGCAGAGAGACAAGAATTGGACAGTGCAAAACTTCCTGAGTAATTTGACAATGAACACCCTAAAGATATCAATAGCAATCAAACCCAAGAATCCATACCCATTTAACATATCAATATGCAACTATACCTAAAACGTAACAAATTCGCCAACTTTCTAACTTCGACCTTCTTCAATTACCAACTTCAATGAATACTGTATACTTAAACATTCTTGGCATTGGCCTTATCAATTATGAATTCATAAAACTCAAACTTCAATAATTGACAACTCTCTGAACAAGCAACTTCATAAATTTCTTCAACTACCAACATTTCTTGCAATCAGCTTTAATCATATACTCAAAACCCCGAAACAGATCATATAGAATTCACACCAACACTGCATAAAATTTCATTGACCCAAAAACACAAACACCTTATGTGCAAAATTGAAGAAACAAGGAAATGTGACGACCTGATTCCAACAGTGCCACCAGAAAAGATTACAGCAAGAGCACCAATCCAAGAACAACAACTAGACTCCAAGAACTTCAAGAACCATAAAGTGGCCATTAGTATGCAATTGCATATAAGATTGGAATTGGTGAAGCCGCCATTTCTCCGAAGTTGAACAGGTTGAGAGCTTTGCCTTTGTTCTCAAGTTTCAACTTGAAGATGCAATTAAGAAGGAAGATTTCGAGGAAGCTGCAAAACATGATGCTTCGAGATTGTGTAGATACACATGAAGTAGACTTGGTGGGTTGGCTACCCAAAAGATTCAGATGATCCTTTTGGAAGATTAATACGAATAACTCCTGGCGTGGGTAGATTTGTTGGAAGGTGAAACACCCATTTCTGGAAATATCTCTGATTCCAGCGCCTCAACCGATTGCGGCGGTGGAGATGCGACTCTCTGCATTTGCTCTGCCTCAATTTTTGCTCAAAATTTTTCTCCAACTTTCAATCTCTCACTTTCGATCAGAAACAGGAGATTCATGAATTTGATTGAAAATAAATCGACCCAAAAACAAATCAACCTAAAAGAATAATCGTGGAAGCACCCAGAAATTTATCCTAACATCTAATGAAAATTTGGAAAGAAACTAAGCTAGAAACAAATGAAAATAATGGGAAGTGGAACCACGAAAATCCATGGCATGAGCCTGGTGGCTCTGATACCATGTTTACTACATTGAAATGTCTGGGAATTGAAGAGAAAATCAAGAAAGAAGATGAAGAATGATGAACACAAAGATCAGAGACAAAGAGAGAGAGAGTTTAGAGAGAGAAATATGACTTGTATTAACTGATTGAATGAGGGTTACACACATTGTTTTTATAAGAGAAAGCCTAACTACTCTAACCAAATATTAACAAACTTACTAACTGTATTGCTAATTGTATTTCTAACTGTATTGCTGACTTGTATACTTAATAATTGCCTCCTCAAACGCCACTTGAGCATAGCCATAAGTAAAAGATAGTGGGTGTAATACCCTGGAAAAATTTAAAATATATGAAATGTAGAAAAATTTATCGATAAGTGGGAAATGTCCATCGTTGATTAAACGTAATTTTACAAGGACATATTTTATCCTCGTATATTTTGCAGTATTTCTTGACATATATGGATGGAGTTCGATCCTACGAGCGCGTAGGCGAAAACCGTTCATGAAAAGGAGTTATAACAAAAGAGTTATTAACATTTGAAATTAGGGACATTTTTGGTAATTTGGCCCTCATTTAGTTGGCTCAAATTTTCTGGAGCAAAGGATTTGCCACGTGTGTGGCTGAGATGAAGAAGGAAGGAAAGAAAATAGATTGGGGGAATTGGGGGCTGCCCAATTAGAGGGAGGAAGGAAGGACATGAGGGAAAAGGGGAAAGAGGGGAACTGGATCCCTTGACCCTTTTACCCAACCAGATCGGCGGCACCCATGTTTTCCGATGCCTTTCTTGGTGTTTTTTCAGCGAATTGAAGCCATTCACCACCTGGAAAACATTCCCCATCATCTCCTCTACCAATTCCACCCCAAATTTGAGAGAATTTGGCCTTGAAAATGTGAAAACTCACACGGTGAATGCGGCGGGTTTGTGGTGGTGATCCACCAAAATTGAAGAAAACTTCCACCACCACCACCATCAATGGACTCCCATCAACCTCAGGGACAAAGCCTAAACCTTGGTTGGGGCGGCGGAGCACCGGAGGTGGCGGATCGAAGTCAACGAAATCAAGGGTTTCAGGCGGTTCGTGGGCAATTTGGAGCCTTTTCCGACCAAATTGGACTTAGCCACAGGTATAAAGTTTGGTCTAGTCTTTGAGATCTTCATTTCTGTAAAATTTGACAATTTTTTGATATAGTTGAATTTTCCGGTGAGCTAGGGCGACCAACCGCCACTCACGGCGACGCGTGGCTAGAAAGCCGTCAATATTACTTTTAGGCTAAATTAGATGTCCTGAATTCAATTTGGATATTCGTATGATGTGGGTTGATTGTTCGAACCTAAATTCACTACGATATGTTACTTGGTCAATATATAAATCGACAATCCGACTATTGAGCCGTCACCAAACTTTGATACCTTATCGTACGCACTGTTCTAAAAATCCACGTCTAGCGCCGCCTAGGCCCCAGCCCACTGCCCCAATTAATGCCTAGGCCCCAGCCCACCGCCTAGACCACCTAGGTGCCTAGGTTGCAACTTACTTAGACAGAAAATACATAACTTTCATTTTGCATTTTGTTTTTTTTCCAATAAATTGTAAGAGACTTGTTGCATACTTGAATGAACAAACATTATATCCTTATTTCACATGTTTTCATTATGTTCCAATACTTCATGATATATATATGCATTCTATTTTGTAGTTTATGATGAAATTATATATATTTCAAGTAGAAGCAGACACTTATTTACATGAAATATGATAGATTTACTTAAATCCGCATAGTCCGCCTAGGCGCCCACCTAGGCCCCGCCTAGCCGCCTAGGCGTTAGGTCCTGCCTAGCCGCCTAGGCGTTAGGTCCCAGCCCGCCGCCCGACTAGCGCCTAGCGACTTTTAGAACCTTGATCGTATGTAATATTTGAGAACCTTAGGAACTTACGGATCGGGAATCCGACGTACGGATCTTCCCGAATTGGATTTTGCAAGTTTGTAAATAAAATGTTGACCGCCACTTGATTTCGTGATTGGCGGAGATATGACCGTTAAATCGGAATGAAATTTTAGTATGTTGTTCTAAAAGCGTAAGATGAACTACGAATGGTTTGATCCCTTTGTTTAGGGTACGTAGGCGACCATGATGTTAGATCCAGCCATAAATTAAACAAAATGATTATTTTTTTGGTTAGTTAGAATTACAATTAACTATTATTTTATTGTGGCCTACCTGTGTGTTTGGCTTCCGAATTAGAAATTTCAGGTCGTTACAGTGGGCAACCAAGACATTGAAGTCAACTACCAATATGAAGCTCATGGAAACCCATAATCGATATTGCTGGAAACGGCAAACGAGAACGTGGTGGTATTGGAAACACTCGAGTTGGTGTAAACTCTAGAACTCTACAGACGAATTCAACATGAAATATGGCTGAAGATCGGAGCAAGGAAGAGCCGGAAAAGGTATACTCGTAGGGATTGAGGAATTGGACAGGGTGGAGTGAAAAATTGGGAGAAACATCAGTAAAGGCAAAGAGAAAATAAGGAAGAGGACATGGCAACTGACCCCAACAGTAGCTAGGGCTGATGCCATCGGAGATTCTAAGATTCGAAAATCTTACACAATCAATGAGAATGACTTTCAGCTAAGAGAGAAGCTCTCTTCGATGAGAAAAAAAATCTAGAGAGTTGTTTTAGCTCTACGAAAAGTCATGATACACTGAGTAATTACATTTAAAAAAAAGTGCAAATGAGTTACTCCTACATAAAAAATTAAAAGTAGTGCTGCATTGAGCTCAGAACAAAGAACTTGAAATGAGAATTGGAATTTCTTCATCTATAGTTCATAACTTCATAATTCATAGATTATTGGACAACACATGTTCTTATACTTTTGAGATTAATTTCTTAGTAGAGTCGAACCAAGTTGTTACACACTTGAGCACTAAGTACCAAATGAAAAGAAAGCAAATTACTAATTAAAGTCCTAAGTCATAACACTAATAATTAATTATCATAAGCTGCTGAGGATCTCTGTGAGTTTTGACGCAGCAGCTATTCTGCTAGCTATAGCACCTTCAACATTAGGACTAACACAGAAATCTCCACAGATAGCAAGCCTCTTGTTCTTATCCCAAAGGCATTTCTCCTCTCTGGCTACGCTTGCAGCTGGAAAAGGGCCTTCCCTACAAACAAAATCCAACGGTATCATATAGCTTTAAACTTTAAGGCATTACAGAGTATCAAGCATGAACTTAACTATATAATTTATTTTAGACTGCGATTTTGAGACACTTTCACATAATAATTTCAGATCCATAAACTAAGCATTGTTTTCATCCTTGGCGTGGACTTTAAACTAATATAAGAGAAAAATATGGGTCTGTTTGATACTCTACTTGAATCCAACTTTTTAAACTCAAAAACAATTTTCAAGTTTCAAGCTTTAAAAAATTGTTTGGTATGATTATTTTCAAAAACTAAACTCAAGATTAACTCAAAAATATAGTATATTCTCTAAAAACATAAAAAGTGAATTTTTAGAGTTTTTAAACTTAAACTCACTCATTTATTTTCTCTCCCTCCTCCCCTCTCATCCCAAATCTATCTCTCTCCTCTTTTTTTTTTTTTTTTTTTTTTACCTTTCTCGACTTTTCTCCAATCCGCTCTCTTCATTCTATCAGTTATTTCTCTCACTCATCTTCCTCTCTATCTCGTCCGATCCTCTCTCTTCTTTCTCTTTCATTCAACCATCTTTTACTTTCTTTCCTCCTCTCTCCTCTTTCTCCCTCTCACCTCTTCTTTTTAGATCTCTTTGTCTAGTTTAAGTCGTAAGATGTAAAATTTTTAAATCGCAAACCAATCAAATTTTTGAGTCTTAAAGAAAATTGTTTTCAAGAAATGTTTTGAGAAATGATAAAAATTTTCAAATAAGATACCAAACAGACCCCAAGAGATTTATGGAAAAGCTGATGCAAAGACTAATTTTAGACTACAGTTTAGAGAGAAACTAAGATTCCATGAATACCTAGAGGTAGAACGGCCAGGCTTGCTGCTTTCACAGTGAGCCCAGCTTAAAACTTCAGAACTTCTTATTGAGAAACCTTTAAGGGGTACTGATTCAGAAATTAGGCACCAGGGTCAGCCCAGATCAACATCAAATAGAAGAAAAGAGTACACAAATTAAGAATGTGATACAAATGGTTGCGGGAATACATGGAGCCAAATCCAGCATCCCGAGAGAAAGGAAAAGTTGATGAACCATGTAGCATTTTATGAATGCACGGTTTACAGATGACTATACAACTTTAAGGAGGCATAATAAATATCTTACTGACGACTGAGGCTCTGAAAATGCTATCATGAGAGCAAAGCATGGACGGACATGAATATCATTTAACTTAACAGACAACTCTGGAACTAAATTAAAGTCTAAATGCATCTCAAATGGTTAGATCCACGATGCTTTTATGCTATTCTTCAGAAAACAATGCATGTGCCAGACAAGAAAAGTGAGCATGCTTACGGGTGTAAGAACCTAGATTAAGCTGTCAAGTTCCAAGTAAACGGTCAGAAAATAGAAGGCTTTATTCGATGCATTGACACATTGTAGGCATTCCTACTGTTGTTCAGTGTGATACATCCTACTCAAATATCCAATCGATCTGGAGAAGGAAGTGATATCTTATAGTAGTAAAAATAAGTATTTGCTAACTGATGCTTAGTATCCATGTAAATAAAACCCACCAATAAGACAAAGCATGCATAACATAAACACCAACACCGGCAAGCTTACCAAGAACTGCCACTTAATATTGCGAAAATTTTCTAGACATGCTTAGAATAGAAAAACTTGAAGGAGTGTGTTCAATACCAAGAAGTGGTTGTCTTCCTGTAACACTTGTAAACCTGAGCGAAACAAGGTTTTTGTCCGTTGCAACCACTCCCTTAAACTGGCCAAGATTTTGCCCATCTGAACCTATCAATGACCACAAATTTTCATCCTCTAGCCACTACAACCTCCCAACACTCGCCCCAAACTACTTTCCACACCTAAAGAAATTATAGTGCAATTAAGTTCCAACAGATATTCAACCTTGAATAGAAATCGTGCCAACAGAAAATCAGTAGAATTTACAACTGGATTCCTGGCGTAATGCTCATGAACCAACATTCTGCATATAGAATTCATGCCCACAAAAATGATGTAATCAAGGTGAAGCATAGGTAGTCATGAGCCAACCTATTTCACAAATGAAATATGTTTCCCTGCATTATAAAATATGTTTGCTGATTAAGTACTTGCAAACCTCTTCTGGGTCAACAAATTTGTTGGAAATGTGATCAAAGAAGCCAAATTTCTCTTTCCAGCAAGCAACAAGACCCTTTGATTCCCACTCATGAACAAGACCCAAAACCTTGGTGTTGTAGGCATTGAAAAATGGAGCACAATGGTCAAACAATAGTTCCTTCCCATCCTCAACAACTTCCCTACAACTAAATTTTCAGTAATCAAAAGGCAAAAGAAACTCATATGTAACAACTCGCACCCAAGTTCAATACCTTCGTCATTTGAATTTCCAAATAATATTGACATCGAAGGGCTTTTTTTCATGAGGAAATGGTAAATGCAGTTTGTAGTTGTACAAGAGCGATAACCCAATCGATATGGCATTTCCAAATAGGCAGTCATATCAGTTTGAAAACAACTTGAATCATTTAGTAAATAAACTCTTAACTATTTCCCTAATCACATGCATTAAAACCTCAGAATTTGTCTTTTGAATTTCTTCCAATCAACAAAGGGTCAAATAATGAAGGAATTCAAAATGTAATCTTATGCTGATTGTCCAAATTTTCCCACAAACCAAACAGAGCATAACAAAGAAAACCCATTTCTGATAACCAATAGCACATTTAACCCCCAAATTATATCAAAACTTTTGATAAGAAAATGAATAATGTAAATTTTGTAAAACAAGAGTGAAAAAGGTACCTTCATTGGGACATGCGGCGGCCGGGGACTCTGGCGGACTCGAGCAAAGTTACAGACACTCCGTTTCTGCCGAGAGTTGATGCACACACTGCTCCTGGAACTGCAATATTTATATTATATGATTTAGTCATGAGATTAAAAAAACAATAATACAAATTAAGGGAATGTAAAAAAGGGGTTTTGAAATTCGATGCTTTTACTTCCACTTCCCACCACCGCAACTCTAGTGGTGCTTCTGCTCAATCTGCTCTGCTCTTTCCTGCCTTCCCACTGTTCGTTCCTTCATTTTCCGCCACAAACTCAAAGGTCGTTGGTGGTTGGTAGTTGGTAATTGGTAATTGGTAATTGGTAGTTGGATCCCTACTAACTCAGCTTTCTTTGTTACTGTTGGAACATTAAAGATTCAAGCTTGATCTTAACGGGCCAAAATAATGGTTCTACCAAAAATTAAGTATCAAATTTTTTTTTCCATCAAATCCGTCTCAATTCTCACTTTTTCGACTCACACTCAAAGTTCGTCGCTTATCCCTTTGGAGCCTGATTTTTGCTCAACTTTGTATGAATTGTGTATATATATTCCATGAAATTTGCTGACACGGAACTATACATTATACAATCTAAAAATGTCGTACCCAGTGCACAAGGCTCCCGCTTTACGCAGGGATGTTTAAAAATAATTTTCATTTATTTTTGTTTCAATCTATGTGGCAATGTATGATTGGATGTGTGAGTCTTCTTTTGTACTACGTTAATAATTGGCCCTACTTATGCTACATAAGTAAACAAATTTTAACTAATTTAACGAATCCATGAGATGTGAAGCAAAAATAAATAGGGACTAATGACAGGTGTTGTGACGGCACAACAAAAAATAAGTCTTTTTACTGCAGTCAAATATCAAACATTATCAAAAAAGAAAGGGAAATTTGCAACACTAACTAGAAAATAAACCAAAAGTGTTGACATTCATGATTCCCCAAGAAAAGAGGCACGCCATGGCCCTGTCCATATCATAAATTCAAACTTGAAAGTCGTAATATCAAACTGTGTCGCTGAAATGTGAATAGAATATAAAATCTTTATCTAAACCCACTAGATGATATATTTTACAGTTTATAGCTGGGATTGGGAAGCCTCTCACGTACTCAATATCATCATGCAGACTTTGTAGACAGGAACAGGAGTACGACGAGGATAATAAGACGGAAGCGTGTGAACGCAGATTTTAATAAGGTCCACTAAAACGTGGTTAGTTTGTTGAGTGGATAATCCCTCACCTGACAATTTAAATATAAACAAACTATCGCTTTTATCTTTAGGTGGCTGGCTGGCTCTGATACGATCTGAACATCATGTCCAATGCTAGGGTTTCATCTTCTCATTCAGATACGTTTGGATGCCCTCCGAATGTGAGGCAGATCTTGTTCTTATAGTTTAATTTGTTTGAAAGTGTTTTTAAAAGAACTGTTTTCAGTACTTTAAAGACGAAGAGTCTTAATATAATAATACCGCGTTTAATAAATAAAATTTAGAAAAAAATTCGTAAACACGTGTCCGCGGTAAAGTGACGCCTGTTTGATGACACTTGAAGCTTGACTTTCTGACTATTTCCACCCTTCTTCTCCGTCTACTCTTTCTACAAGTAAAATTGTAGCAGCAGTGGCATGCCTTGAAAATTCAAAGGGAAGAGGAGGTGTACGCAAACCAGATTGGACTCTGCGGAGACTTCTTAGCACCTCGCATACGCCCTTTCATATTCGTTCGCAAAAAAACCCAAATATTTGGTTTCTTCTATTTTCTCTTCTCCAAACCCCACAATTCTCTCTTACCAGCAACAACTAACGAGCAGCCAAGATCCTCTCTTTCCTTCGTTCTCTGAGCTCCTCAGGTGATTTTCTCTTCTGGCTTTTTTTCAATCTCCAATCTTCTTCTTTTTTCTAGAAATAATTATTTTGGAAGATGTTGATTTTTGTTTTCTGGGTTCAGTCTGTTTTAACTATTTGAGGTGTTTGTTTTGCAGTTGAATTTTTGTTAATTCTTTGTTTTGCTTTAAGTTGACTGAATATTTTTGTCATAGTTTTGATTGTTTCTGAAGAGAAAAAATGATTTCAGTGTCCATGCATTCTCGGTTCTTTTATTATTTGCTTGTTTCATTCTGTTCCTGTCAACTTCATGGCTTTCCGAAATCGAAACATTGGTGTTGTAGATTTTGTGTGTTACATTTTTATCTTGTTTTTGCATTTCGTACTGTTGTGTGAAGCTATACTTTATCTAGTTCGGTCGAGACAAGGACGAATCTTCACGTGTCGTGGGATTTATTAGTTCAATATTTAAAGTTATTGGATTAAGTTGGATTTGGAGCAATAAGAAATATTCTTTGAAAGTTTGCATCCAACACTCCTTCTCAAATCCTTTGAGATTGCATTTCGATACAATTGTGCTTCTGGATAACATGTATCTTACAATGTTGGCAGGTCTTCAAGCGGTTTTGTTTTAGGCATTTGTTCACGGTTGACCTTGTGGTAATTGGTGTTTCTTACAATTATGAGTTGTTTTTCCTTCTTAAGCGGTGCAAGGGTGAACAAATCAAGAAAACCCAGTTCTGATATCGATGAAGGTAAGCTGAAAATCTGATTAAAGCGGAGCTTGATATTTTTACGTCACATTACTCTTACGAGATTATTGTTCATTGACAAGGTCATCAAAATCAAATGTCCCAAAGTGCTTTTCTTATGCCTGCCCTTAAGTTTCTTGAATAATTTTTGTTTGCAACAGAAGTTTCTGGCATTCATGATGTTAAACTATTCACTTACAAAGAGTTGATAATCGCAACTGAAGATTTTAGTCCAGCCAATAAAGTCGGGGAAGGTGGTTTTGGTTCTGTCTATAAGGTATACTCAGGTTTTCTGTTTTTAATATAAGTTTTGGATACTGGTATTGCATTTGGTATTTAATTGAGTAATTCTCTCTCCTCGACATTGTGAGTGACATCTATTTGAATTGCTATCGTGAATAATCAGGGCCGGCTTAAAGATGGAAAATTTGCTGCTATAAAAGTTCTTTCAGCTGAATCGAGACAAGGGGTGAAGGAATTTTTGACTGAGATTGACGTGATCTCAAAAATCGAGCATGAAAATCTAGTTAAGCTCTATGGCTGTTGTGTTGAAGGAAACCAAAGAATTCTGGTCTACAACTACCTTGAGAATAATAGTCTTGCACAAAATCTTATTGGTAACTTACATAACTCTGTTCTTGAGCTGGAATCGGCGTTTAATCAGTACTCAATCAGTCCTTTCCCGAGATTAAAGTTTTTATTCTTGAAACTTATGTTCTTAAACTGTTTAATTCCAGGTGGAAGTAGCAGTAATCTCCACTTTAGTTGGCAAACTAGGCGTCAAATATGCATTGGGATTGCATGTGGGCTTGCCTTCCTTCATGAGGAAGTACATCCCCATATTATTCATAGAGATATCAAAGCAAGCAACATTCTCCTCGACAAAGACTTAATGCCAAAAATTTCAGATTTTGGTCTTGCAAAACTTATCCCTCCTAACATGACCCATGTTAGCACGCGTGTGGCAGGAACAATGTAAGGAACTACGAATTTGTTTCCGGGGAGCCAAGATTCATGTCGTGAACATATAGTTGGAAAATGGAAACATTATCATGATACTGAATTATATACCGTGTCAACAACTGTGAATCACATAAAACACTGGCCAGTTAGGAAATCAATAGACCTTTTGTCCCGCACGAAATGTGTTAAACAAAATATCATCTTGTTTATTATAGTTTTTGGATTTTTAGCTTTCTGGTATGGTCTTCCTTTTGTTGGTACAACAAGCAGATGATACCAGAATAAGTAAAAATAGGCTTCAACATATCTATATTTACAAGACGTACTGCACTTGAGTAGGTTTAGTCATTCGCTTCAACGTCCCTACAAACTACTCTTAGGAATGGATTAGGCGTTTAAGTTTCTCCATTTAAATCTTCCTTTGGATGTCTGCCTATCTCTTTGTTGATCTATTATAATCCAAATATTTTCTGCCTTGTAATCACATGTATATTTCTGGTTTTAGAGGTTATTTGGCACCCGAGTATGCAATACGAGGGCAATTGACAAGGAAAGCTGATATTTATAGCTTTGGAGTGCTCATTGTGGAAATAGTCAGTGGCAGAAGTAATACAAATAACCGACTACCTATTGACGAACAGTATTTGATTGAAAGGGTATAAATTTACGATATTTTCAGTCCTTACAAACTTTTTCTTTCAATCTTGTTTAAGTAAAACACATTAATGGAAATTGCATGTGTCATATGTGATTTTGGTGATGTTTCTGGACAGTTTTGTTTGTTTGATGAGGCTTCTGAAGCTTATATTCGTGTTTCCCCTTCGAGTATTTTGTTGATGGTGTTGCTGAAAGTTTTGTAGGATTGTTGTAGGTTCTGTGTGTCTGTGAGATGCTTGTTCTATCTGTGTCTGAGTTTCATACAGTCACAGCCATGTTGGCTTTGTAGTACCAAGGGTTATGCAGTGGAGATAACCAATCTATTACCCTACCACTACCAATGACAAGTGCCTTCTTTGCTGCAGACATGGCAACTCTACGAACGGAAGGAGCTTGTTGGACTGGTAGACACATCACTCGACGGTGATTTTGATGCTGAGGAAGCTTGTAGGTTTCTAAAGATCGGCCTCCTCTGCACCCAAGACACTGCGAAGCTCAGGCCATCCATGTCAACCGTGGTCAAGATGCTAAAAGGCAAGAAGGTTGTCAACGATGATAAGATAACAAAGCCAGGCTTGATAACCGATTTCATGGACCTCAAAGTACGAGAGCCTCGTGATACAAAGCCTAGTGCACAGACTACTACATCTTCCTACAATGCGTCCTCGGGCTCAGGCTCAGACAACAAGGACAATTCAACATTCTCCTTAGCAACCTCAGCTGCTGCTACTACCACCTTCATTTCAAACTTGTCATCGGAAACCTCAGCCGATAATACATCGAACTTCAGCTTCCGCACCGTATAACACATCCACACAAATTTTGATTTCATTTATTTTGTCCTACGTAGGTTTTTGCAGCCTGCTGTTGTTTCTTCTTTTTCAGCTACACCCTTCTAGCCGGAGGTGCTCCTTTGTATATGTGATCAGGGCTTGGTAATCCAAATAATTTTTGTAATTTTTTTTATTTTAAATTTTGATCATTTTAGTTTTGCTTGGCGTATCTTGACTCGGTAACAGATTATACGCAAATAATCTATCTTTGACGAATTGTCTTAACGTTATATTCATTCAATCACATCTAAATGTGCGGTCTTAGTTCGCAGTCTAAAAGTATCACAATAATTCCCGGACTGCGTTGGATTATCTGTTTATGTTGACCAAAAGAAGAATCCTTCTGTTTATGTTTTAGTATTCGATTAAATTCCCTTCACATCACGTTATTGTAAAGCTGACAATAAAATTATATAAATAAGGAGTTGGTAGGTGAGACATAATAATTACTGAATGCAGATTGTCAAAGAAACATGAAGTGGTTGCAAGAATAAAAGGGAGGAAGACTGAATACTTTGACAAAAATAGAAGGAAGTTGCAAGAATAAAAAGGAAGAAGACTGAATACTTTGACAAAAATAGAAGGTAGTTATCGAATGAAAGGGGATTCCTTCCGCCTAATTCATCAAATTAGAAGATTCGGACCATTAGAATTTGATCAATCGATTAAAGTTATTATAACTTTTAAAGTAGATTCTTGTTATCAAATTTCAATAACCTAATTTTCCTGATTTGGTGGATTATGAGGAAGAGATCCGGAGAAGATTCATTTCCATTATCAAAAGCTAAAGAACTCGTGTATGAACATTCTGACCATCATTTGTAGAATACGAGACTCTCAATGTCGTGGTCTTATTTAGGACTGTTTTGGTATTGCTGTACTTTGAAGAAAAAAAATGTTTCTGTTGTGCTGTAAAAATAAACTTATTTTTTATGCTTCACGTTTTCAGTGTTTTTTTTCACCCAAAACTATGAAAATAAGTTGTTTTTAAGTGTTTACCATACACTTTTTTAAGCTCAGTTTTTTTTATACCTACTTTTTATAAAAGTATTTCAGTACCAAACTACTACTTAATCTCGTGCTAGTCTGATTTATGAGGCACGCCAACTAACGTAATTTTATCAAAATTTCTCTCCAAAAGCATCCTCAGATACTTTTAAATCTATACATTAATGAAAATTACATGTCTAACCTTATCATTCTTAGCATCAACCCTCTATTGTAAAATAGATTTCAACACTCAAAACCGTGAAATCTCCCACAGCGAACAACAATGATGTTGGAGATGGCGACGACTTAAAACATTGGTAGGTAGTGTTAGCTATGAACTTGTGTTTGGCATAAAGCATATACAAAGTCTCAGTGTCGCATCCTGACCCAGGCCCCATCACATTCTGAGCTTGACTTTACCGTAACACGATATTATCTGTTTTAGGCTCCAACCATGCCCTCATAGTTTTGTTTATGAGAACTCACACGAGAACTTCCCAGTGGGTCTCACCCATCATGGGATTGCTTTCGTGCAAACTTGCTTAACTTCGGAGTTCCGATGAAACCCGAAACAAGTGAGCTCTTCAAAAGGTCTCGTGCTGAGTAGAGATGGAAATGTACATATAAGGCATATAAGGTTTACAGAATCCACTTCCTTTGACGATGTGGGATGTTACACTCAGTGATTTTGGTTGTTCGTTACTGAATACAAGCATAATTTTCACTTATTAGTCAATTTTTAATAAGGAAAACTAACGAAAAGTTCAAAAAAACTTCTCTTTTAATGAAAATCCCTTTTTAAAGGTATAGTAAATAGTACCAGGAAAATGTATAAATGTGATTTTTCGTTAAAAATGAACAATACCGGAAGTGTTTTGTTAAAACTTCATTTTTAATACCGCTTTTTAGCCATAAGGTAATATTTTCGGTTGGTTCCAAACTTCCTACTGAATACAGAGATTACGATGTACAATTATTTAGCCAAAAGCAACCGTATATTTCGATTATTTCAGTTGCTACCAAATTTTAAACTCATGATAAGAAATCAAAAAAGTAAGAGTAAACCTGATCTAGTCCAATTTTGTGAATGATTTGATCTAGTCCACTTTGTTATATTAGATCCGTTCACAGATTATCCACATCAGTTTTTTTTTTCTTATTATTTTTTTTATTAAATTGTTTTAAATATTATCTTTTATTTATAGGTTTATCTATATTTAAAATTTGTTTTTCTATTTTCTTGTTTCTAATTCCTATGTCAATTTTTCTACCTCGCACAAGTTAACTGTGTGTAACTAATCTATGTCGTAGATATTATATATATCAACACATAACTAGTATGAATTTAAAAATGTATAGAAGATAAAATTTTCTTTGAACTATTTTCATGGATGTTAGGTAGATTAATTTTTATTTAGTTTCGTGCATAACTTTATCACAGATTAAATTTATTTATCAATCTATGGTATATGATCATATATGATGACATATAAATTTTCTTTTAACTATTTTTCATCAAAGTGGTTAGATTTTTATATTTAAATATTCAAATAAAAAATTTGTGTATAGATGCATAAATAAAAAAATTTAATTAAAGTTGAAAATAGAAAAAATTGGACTAGATCTAACAAAAGCTCAAATTTTTAGACCTCAATCATAGTACGCTTTAAAGTAAATATCGATCACATATCCACAATACAACAATAAAAATTTTCTAAAGGGTAATGCTGTCCAAGCATAACCAAGCATATCTTTTTATGCTTTCTAGGTACCTTCTTATTCGATTCTCAAATCAAATGAATTGAAAAAAGATCAAAATGCAAAAATTAATAAAGAGTACGGCGAAATAAAAATGAGTGTGTGAACCATCCATTTTGAAAAAACTTATCATACAGAAAAAAAAAATTCCTTTTCTTTTTATTTTTTTTTTGAGTAGTGCTACACTTGCCATTTATGTGAACAATCACTTGTACCATATCTTTAATACAAGAAAAACCTGCAAACTCATGTAGGTCTTATTTCTTTTCTAAAAGATAATACAAATAGATGGTAATAATAATTTTTTTATTTATTTTCATTAGAGGAATAAAAAACAGTGGTGTCAAGTGGGTTCCATTGGGTCATAGTTATGATAAAAAAGAGGGAGGAGGATTATCCCCCTCCTAACTTTCGCATTTTCTTTCTCACGACTTGACTAAATCACGATAATATTTTATAAAGATATTTTTTTTTTTCGGACAAATAATAATATTTTATAAAGTTAAAAAGACAAAAAATGGTTTCAAAATATGAGAGGAGGAGAAGAGAGATGAGAGAATCTTACTAGAATAAAAGGCCACAAAGTGACAAAAGTGACACAGCACACAAGTAGCAGGAGTCTCTTCTCCTTCTCTCTTCCCTCTCTCCCCTCTCTCTCTCTCTCTCTCTCTCTCTCCTTTCTACACCTTTCCACACTTTGCAAACTCTCTTTTTCACGAGCAATGCCTGCAAAAAGCTAGGGTTTATCTCTCCCTGCTCTCTCTACCCCTCTCCCTCCGAATCCCCTAAGGCCTACGCCTTTAAGGCTCCAACCCCCTCCTCTCCCCTGTCGGTGGTTAAATCAACCCCCCTCTCTCTCTGTGGGTTTCCGCCATAGCCACAGCTCTGCGTTTCACTTTGTTCCGGAAGCAACTGATGCAGCAGCAGCAAAAGCTTCCTTTTGGTCTGTGAGCTGGGACTAGTTGCTGTTGGTTTTCATAGACACAGATATTCGCGTCTGAAAAGCTAGTGAGACATTATTTCAATAAAGCGGAATATTTGCGAATTTTCTATCCGTGCTTTTTAGCTTTTGAATGCCTGGTTTTTTTTGTTGCTTTATTTATTGGAAGCTTGCATGTGAAGCAATGCGGGAGCTGACTGACTCACTGAAAGAAGAACGTGATTGAATTTACTTGTTGGCTTTTCTTGGGGTGGTTGGGGATTCTAGATCGTGCTCCAAACCCGTGAATTTCAGCTGGTTTTCCCCCTTTCCCGCTTGATATTTTTGCGGATCAGGATTTGGGTTGCTCTCGGTTCTATGGACTTCATTGATGATTCAGCATCTCAGAGTTTGGGTTCTTACCAATTTCGGCTTCGAGTCCATGGTTATAGATAGCAGGGTTTGTATAGGGCGATAATCTGCTTCTCTGCTGAACCCATAAGCTCATATTTGTAGTGATGGAGGATATAGGGTTGTTTAGACAAGCTTGGAAATGGCTGCAGTCACAGAAACACATTTATTCCCGATTGCGAACTGCGATGGGTGGGTGTGGAGATAAAATCGGGATGTTTGTAGAGCGGCATTGGCCGACGGTTTGCAGTGGGTGCGCCAGGACAGGGAGGCTGTTTATCCTGTTGTTGATTTATTGGTGGGACTGCGTTGTAAGAGGCTTTCGATCCTTTATCGGGTTGGATTCTGCGGCTTTGCTCCTTATAACGTGGAGTTGCCTTCTCAGTCTGACTTCAATTTCTTGCGTGGTTTATGTACTTCTTAGTATGGTATGTTTCCTTGGTATTTCCTTTTTTACTCCTGAGCATTTAATTGTTGTATTTTTCGATGCTTGGTCTTCTGTTATAGTCATTTGATTTGACTATTGGATGAGAACGTGAGATGCAACAACATCAGACCCATTAAAGAATTATGTATCCTTTAAAGTTATAACTGGTTATAAAGATCTGAAAGATTCTTATAAGGGTAGCTTACAGTACTGTTTGCAGTAGGTGGTCCGAAATTGGGTGCGCAGTTTATGTGGATCCTTGAAATAGTGTTGGGGTTTTAACAGAAACCCAGTTAGTAAAAAGCTGACTAGTTTAATTTCTTTAAACATTTGAACAGTTTTAAGAAATTCTATTTATAACTTCTAATTGTTCTATGAGTATATGCGTGTGGCTGTGAGATAATCTTATGGAACGTTTGTGTGCAACTTTAGAGCTTAGGTTTTTCTGGAGAAGATTTTAAATGAATAGGCTGCAACACTGGTGGATGTTTGCTCATGAGGTCAACCAGGACAAGTAAATATCAAGGTTGTTGGGTATGTAGACTTACAGAAGCTTGGTTTAAGAATTCAGGTTCCAGATCTACTGTGAACTGAATATTTCAAGTTTTAGGTTGTCTCATTGAAGACATAGTAGAAAATACTTAAGGTTGCCAGAATAGGGCCTTAAATGGAAAAAATACACAAAAGAAAGTATATATCAAAAGTCTTTAACAAATAATCTAGAAAATTTTCATACTGTAGAGACCAATGCCACACCTTACTTTCGTTAACAGCATATATAGTACTTGTTCATAGGATTAGTTTTGTAACTTTGTGGAACCTTCATAGTGTTCTTTTCCTAGAATTTCTTGATGCAGGGTGACATAATTTAAAATAATGGATAGCCATGAGATGACAGTAGTGGATTTTTTCGTATGAAGGTTCTTTTCTTAGAATTACTTAATGCATGGTGACATAACTTTGGAATAATGTATAGCTATGAGATGGCAGTAGTGGATTTTTTGCAGCTCGAACATGCATAGTGATATTTTTACTCAAATGTTATTATTTACATTGCTACAGAATAAACTGAGACTTACAGTTGGGTCCAATATTTCAGGGAGCTGCTGGTGCTGCTGTCCAGTACTTGGGTTACACTCCAGGACTTTTTATTGTAGGGATCTTTGCTATTCTGATTTTGTGGATGTACGCTAACTTTTGGATAACGGGAATCTTATTTATCGTTGGAGGTATGCTAATTTTTTGTGAGACCTGTATTATAACTTGATGCAGTACATTATTCTTTTGCCTTCTTATGTGGCTATCATTGTTTTCACTCTACCCATGTTGCCGTTATTTATGCTCTATGAGATTTGCAAGGGTGCTTATGCACCACTCATTGGATAATGTGCATGAATAGGTACCTAAAAGAAAAAAATAACAAAAACAGTTCTGCCATCCATCCATAGTTGACTATAGGAGCCGTGCTGCAATCTGTTGGAATGATTTACCATTCAATATGATATCTAGGAATAATGCAAGAACCGAGAGGTATTTTAGCCTTCTGACTGCATCAACCTAGAAAATTGTAATTTATCTTAGAAATCATCATACCAAAACACATTATCATGGAAAAAGTTTTTAACTCTGATTATTTATTTTATTAGAGAAATTGTTGACGAACTATTCTTAGTATTTCAGTTGAATAAAGGATCTGTGAGTGAGAGATTGATAATGCTGATACGATTTTTTCTTGATGTTCTCACGATGCTTAGTAGGTGGCTAATGATATACATATAGATACCTGTGATTGTCATAGTGGGGAAGGTAATTTAGCAGAGGTGAGGCACAAGGCCTGAAACAAAGAAGACAAAACTTAAAGCTTTCATATTCTTGTTTTGAACACGTATCTCGTGTTTTTGCTATTTCCTCCATTTAATAAGTGTCCTCATGTGTGGGCAGTTTTGTCCTAAACAATCTTGGGGAAAAGTTCCCAGACTTAAGCGTTTAGAGGTCATATAAGTGGATCAGCATTCTGATATATTGTGGCTTTTCTATTGATGTTAAAAATACTAAAAACTGTATTACAAATGCAGGTTATTTGTTCTCCCTAAATCATGCACGGTTGCTGGTCTTGATGGCAACTGTATATGCTATTTATATTGTCAAAGTTCAGGTTGGATGGCATGGTGTAGTTATCTCAATAAACCTTGCATTCATCTCTAATGATGCATTAAATTATATGCTCCAATGGTGTGATAAAGTGAGTGAAAGCACACACTTTGAAGAGCAAAAGCAATCAGAAACAGTTATGGAGGATGATTTTTCTGGGGAATGTGAATACTCTATTCCTACTGATCAATCTGAAAGGCTGCACTCATGTAACTCATCTAGCACACCAACTACTTCGGCTGTTATAAATGAAAAAGAAGAATCTTTCCCTATTAAGGTGGTCAAAGAGGAAATAAGTTCAGCTGATGAGATGAAAAAGATTTTAGACAGTATTGATCACTATGAAGCACTAGGATTTCCTCGCCACAAAAAAGTTGATGCAGCAATATTGAAAAAAGAATACCGGAAGAAGGTGGATATTACCTTTCCTTTCTTCTGTTTCATTAATGGGAATTTTCTCTTTTTCCCTCTCATTCTAAGTACGACTTGTGAAATTATTTATGTGAAGTAGAGGAACTACTCTTTTGTGCTTTGACTATTTGGCAAAAAAGTGGTAGCATTAGTGCCTGAATACGACTTTGAAGAATCTGATGTGCAGTTGAGTTATATTATAGATGACTAAGATGCATGATTATCTCTTGTACAGGCCATGCTCGTGCATCCTGATAAAAATATGGGAAATGCATTAGCGAGTGAATCGTTTAAGAGACTTCAATGTGCATATGAGGTAATTATACAGACTTGTTTTTTGAGTTGTATAGTAATCGTTGTTGTCTTAAATGAAAATTATATGACCTAAATAATGATTCTGTATGTGCCTGTCGCAACGACGTGTTTTTAGGTTCTCTCTGATCCCACAAAGAAGAGAGACTATGATGAGCAGTTGCGAAAGGAAGAATCCAAGACTAAGAGTGTGTGCCAGAAGTCCTATGGCACTTCACATCAGGTGAGCTATGTTCTTTGATTGTAGATTCAGTTGTTTGGTGTCATGCACTTTCCTGAGATTTATCTGATTGTCATTTTGATGGAGGTCATCAATAAATATTGATATGAAATCAGTTATAATTTATATGTTGTCTTAGGAATTGCGAATTCAAAATCTATTGATTACATTTTCTATGGCTCTCAATTTCCAATTTATATCAACTATTCAATGCAGTAGAAGTTATCTTTTATTTATACCAGTCTGCTTTGTAATTATGCATCTTCTTTCCCAATGATAAATCTGTATTTCATTCGGTCATTTTTCTGAGTCAATTTACTGATATTTTTATGTAACCCCTATTCAATTGTGTATAAGCAGGAAGGTCCAGATTACTACTCTGAAGAGTCGAGACGTATACAGTGCACGAAGTGTGGAAATTCGCATATATGGGTATGCACAAACAGAAGCAAGTCCAAGGCTAGATGGTGTCAGGTGTGACATTATTCTCTATTAGTTAGTGTTCTTTTTAACTAATTTCAGTGTCAAATATGTTACATTTCTCTTTTTTTTTTCGCTTCATTGGTGTATATATCTGATTTATTGGATCCGTTTGCAATTAGGATTGCTGTCAATATCACCAAGCAAAGGATGGAGATGGATGGGTTGAGTACAAAGGATCTCTAGTCTTTAATAGGCCACATAAGGTATTTTACACAGTACTCTTTGTGTTTTCTCACCCCATGCAAATAGTTCTGCTGTCCTCACTTGCATTTATCAATGTGTTAAACAACAAAACAATTTTTCACATAAGTGTAAGTTGCATGTCAGAACTGCAGAAATTACTATATAAATAAAGGGAGGTAGGAAATGATTTGAGAGTTAGAAGTTTTGAATCAAATGTTTAAATGGTGCTCTTGTGACTTTCAGGGATGAGAGCCTGCTTCAAGGCCTCTCATGATTTTCACGTGCTTTTCCTGTTTGTTTCTATAATGCATGTTAATATCTTCATACAATACCGATATGCATGATTTGTCAAGTTGAATCATTTCCCTTACTGCAGGAATGTACATTTAAGCGTCCCTAATGATTTTTGTTGGATCTTTGTTTTGTTCTTTCATTTAGGTGGAAATACCACGGGCCTTTGTCTGTGCTGAGAGCAAAATCTTTGATGTGTCTGAATGGGCTATTTGTCAGGTAATGGTTTTAATCAAAATATAATATGTAAGTTCCGCAAGCTTGGCTTTGTTCTACAGTCTCTGCATGTTTAGCACCCTATATGGCGGTGGAACTGTGCAATAAATCAGGCAAATTGCCTCTAAAGTATCTTTCTTATTTTAAAACTTGATCTGGAAAGTAGTCAAATTTGAGTAGAACAGTGTGCAAACGGACCCTTTTATCTGTCAGACATCCTGCTGAACCTTTGTAGCACAGAAGACACTATATTGGAAAGACTTAATTGTTCCTCGGACTTGGAGAACAAGTGCCCTTGATCCGTTATTATGTTCTTGGTGTGTGCATCTCTACTTTGTGCCAGGGGGAAATGAGGTTGATATCTTATCGCTTCTACTTGTTCCATGCAGGGAATGGCATGCAGGCCCAACACTCATCGGCCTAGTTTCCACGTTAACATGATTGGTTTGGAGAAAACTCAAAGATCCAACTCAAGTAGATTCCCGTGGGGTTTGGATGCTGAAATGATGGATGAAGATGAAGAAGAATTTGAGGTTTGGCTTCAGCAAGCTCTGGCGTCTGGCCTATTTTGTGAGACCTCTAAACGCCGAAAAACCTGGAGTCCGTTCAAGTTGCCCCAGAGAGTGAAGAGGCAATCGCGAAGAACGTCATGCTGAACAGCTTAAGAGGGCTATGCCGGAAGATGTTCCCATCTCAAGAAAGAGCAAATGATTTGTCAAGATACTGATTGATAGGTTGCTTGTATCACCAAACGAAGGTTGGTGCTCAACAAAGAAGACGGGAATGGTTTGGCGTCTTGAAAATTAAGATCAAAGATCAACACGCTTTGTATCACGACTCAAAAGGGTAAGGGCCCGATTTCAGGCATCAGAGCTCAGGTTGTTGTTGCTCTTGTTGCACATTTAGTGTAACCCGATACTTTCAATCGCATTTGGCATGGTACTCAATCTCAATTTGTTCTACCTAACGGATGAAAAGGCACCACAAACTGTTCCTCTTTTTGTACATGTTTATCTTGTCAATAAAATTTCTCGTTCGTTTACTTGAAGGTGTTACTTCCATGGAATGCGTAATGGAGTTTCTCCGATTTTTTACTTTCCGTAACTTTGTTCAATTGACGACTTTCTCAGTTCAAGCAAGTAAACATGACTTTCCCCGTTCCAAAAACGTTATCGTTTTATTGGCTATCCTCCACCAAGAACAAAACAATCCAAATCAATGTCAAACATATGGGAGATTGTGTCAGCAATGTAAAGAAACCTGGAACTCACAAAATTAAGGATCTGTTGTACTGGAATACCGGTGCATAGACATCTTACTCATAAACAAATATGATTATTTCTCGTTTACATCTAAGCGTAAAAGAACGGGCGACTCGGATTCCAGGTAGGAGTAGGAGATCATGCTTCATATCGCTCACCTTCGGAATCCAGTAACAAATCTATTAATACCAGCAAAATCGGGAACCATGTTCAAATTACAAAAGCTGCCTCCAGCATCGTTTTCCATGTACTCTACGAGATACTTGCACTGCTCCTCGCCATTTGTCTGCAACATCATAAGATTGAAGAGGAAGAGAGATTAGATCAATTACAAGCTGGTCGAAAACAGTAAATGCACAACACGATGTCATTCCCGTGAGGCACCTTGTAGTCGCAATTTGGAAACACCAGTGTTTTGCTTTCACTAAGACCTCATTTTAACTCTCTAAAGTTGTAGCAAAACGAGGAATGGACGGGAACTGAAGCCGAGATTACACAATTTATGGCATACTTAGTTACTAACCGTCTATGTTGTTTGTAACATTTAGCAAACGCAAAAATAGATACCTCGAAAGCAAAGAATCCACCAGGTTTCAACATAACAGCAGCCCCTTTGCAAAGATGTAAAAGATCATCCATGCCATTGGCACCGCCGTCCAATGCAACTCTTGGTTCATGTCGTCCAACTTCAGCTTGTAGCCCTGCGATATTGTCACTTGGTATGTAGGGTGGATTACTTACAAAACCTGAGAGTTTGCCTTCCACATCCTTTAATGGTTCAAACCAAGATCCTTGCCTTAGCTCCACTACATCCTGATTGGCACATCAAAATTGGATCTTGAGCACACAAACAAATAGAAAACTTCGAAAAGTAGTATAAAAAAGAGATGAAAGTTCAAATATTTGGAACTTCCATCGTCAAGTTACTTGGCAATCAGGATGAAAGTTCAAATCTTCGCTAGTACATAGACAAAATCTCGCGAGTTATCGGTTAAACACTAACCTGCAAACCATACCTCTGCACATTAAAAGCTGCAACCCCAATTGCCGTGGGACTCAAATCGGTAGCAATGACTCTCCCACCACTCCCCAAAACCCTTGCAATCCCAATCGCAATCGCACCACTCCCCGTCCCCAAATCAGCCCACAAACCCTCCCTCAACCCCTCATTCCCCAAAACCACATCCCCCACCAAATCAACAATGAGCTCAGTCTCTGGCCTCGGAATCAAAACCCCTTCTTCAACACACAACACCAAGTCCCTCCAATGCTCGCACCCGACAACATACTGAAAGGGCCTCCTGTCCTCAACCCTCTGCTTCCACAACATATAAAGCTCCTCAATTTCCACCCTTAGCCTAACGCTTCCGTCATTGTTATCGATGTTTTTGGGTTCTTCGATTGCGTCCTCCATGAGCCATTTGAGCTCTCTGCGCAAAAGGGTCGAGTCCGGACCGTTGTCCAAGTCCACGAACGTTGACCCAACTGAGGAAACGAGGGTGTTGGCCCAGTCGTGCCATTTTTGGAGGTCGGAGGTGGTGGCGGAGTGGGCGGGCGGTCGCAGAAACAGAGGGGTTTGGGGTTTTGGGGTCGTGGGTGGTGGTGGTATTGAAGAAGCAGAGCAAACGGAGCGGTGGAGGTTTGTGAAAAGAGAGGGTTTAAGAAACGGTGAGAGTGTTGGACCGAAGCTTAGCTTCATCGTTTGTTCATGTCTCCCTCAAGTCTCAAATTACCCTCCAAAAAGCCTGTTGGGGTTTTATCCCTTTTTTTTTTTTAGGAATTTTAACGAAAAGCACCTGAACTGTTCATTTTAACGAAAAATTATATTTTTACACTAAAAAGTCAATCATGGTACTATTCACTTTACCCTTTATTTTGTCCTTATCATTAAAACTCAAAGTTTTCAAGCCCTTTTCATTAGTTTTTTTTTTTTTTGGAAGAAGAAGAAAATAGAGTTTTTATATTTTTGTACAAATTTTTTTGTCAAATATCTTTTTATATAATTATTTTTTTTGGGAAATTAGCTATTATAGAAAGGCGTGTGATATCCACACACCCCTTTTTACTTCTCTCACACCTTTTTTGTTTTCGGCCGTCGGATTGAATGATTTGAAGAATATCAACTGACAGAAATTAACAAGGGGTGTGTGAGAAGAAAAAATGGGTGTGTGGATAGCACACCCCTTATAAAAACATTACAAACCATGTTTGCTGAAATAGAAATATTGACATGAACTACATAAATGACATGGTATTGAATAACGCATGCTGATTTTTTCAAAATGTCAATAACAACTTGTGCATTAAAGGTTTTAGTTAAAATCTTGTGATTGATGTGCTGGATACCAATTCATTTCTCCAACTCTTTACCATAAATGTATGTATTAAAAAAAATCTAGAATCAAAATAATCAAATCGAGGAGTTTGTTAATGAAGGTCAAAATTCAGATTTCAATTGAAGTTTTACGTAGAAATAATATCGATTTTAATTCTGAATTATCAATTTTAATTCTGAATTATCGATTTTAATTCCTCTATGATTAGTAACACATGAACAATCCGTAACCGGAATCCAACATTTTATTTTGATTCAACCTGCCGTTAGCATTAAGCTCAATTTCCATATAGTCTTGTGCATGCATTGTAAACCCACCTCAAAAGGGGCACATAACATACATGCATGCAAATAAACAAGAAGAAAAGCTCCATGCTTAATTAGTAACAACCACACAACCTATTTGTTTCTGATCCGAAACAGGATTGACCGATAAACTTCACTGCATACGCACAAAAAAGGTCTTGGACAACAAATGCAACACGAAATACCGGTAATCCATAAATAACACGGCGGATAAGAGTTTCTTAAACTTGGATCCTAGGTGATCAGTGGTCTTTGGATACGAGATTTTCCTGCTCATCAGTGCACAACATCAACCTGTGCAAAAATCATAAACATTGCAAAATTGGAAACTCAAGAGTAATATTCCTGCAGCATAATTGAATTGCTAACAGATCGAGTGAAAAACATTTCTAAGGATAACATCAGACGTTCCGTCGAAGCTCAGAAAAATGAAGAATCCTCACTAGACTGGGATATGAAAATAGTAGCATGCAGAAGCATTGCATGACCATCCTCCCTCATACAAGTTGGAAACCAATATTGCTATTTAAGCTAGTTTCTTTGTGTTAAGGAGTAAGTAATACAACTATTATTACATACAGTGATGCATGGGTGAAGAGATAAGTTCTAAAGTCAAAAGTTATCCAAGCAAGACCACATATGTTTTCATCTTTAAGATCAGCCGTAAGTATTTGACTGACTTTGGTACGGTTGATACTGAGGGGCGGTAACTATTCACAACGGTAAATGGTGGATTGTAAAGTTACCTCTTGATAAGCAAGGAACATGTATATACAATTGGGAAGATAATATCAACCAATTCTGCTCCCTGATGCGAGAAGCTGCATTTGTTCAGTGATGTGATTCATATGTTGACTCTTGTCCCATCCATTATCCTTCCCCAACTGCAAGTCCTGATTCACGGTCACTCCATCATCAGAACTCAAACTAATTTCGTCTGTGTCACCAGGCAGTGGGCTCGCTGTAAGAAATTGTTCCCAGAAGATATCATTAATGCTTGGAAGGCTAGAGACCCCATCTGGCAACGCATCTGCATCAGGCTCAGGAGAAAACGGGTCAATATCTGTAGGCAGTCTGCCATCCAAACCTGTTGACATGCCCATGTATCCTGCATTCCCAGTCTCTGAGTTGATGAAGTTTGCATTGGGGATTTCCACATTGCTTTGTGGAACAATACCTTGCATTCGAGTTAGTTCAGGGATAACTGGATCTTGTTGAAAATTAAGCATGTTCTCTTCCAAAACTTGAGTTTCTTTAACAGAGTTGGAAACCGCGAATGGGGAAGACTGGACCTCAGAAATGCCTGTAGAATGACAACTGACGGGAAATCTAGACTCGTTGGGCATATCGCACTCTGCAGAAATTGGTGGAACCTCTGAAAGGGTCACCCCCAAAATCCGACTAGAGGTGTTCCTAGTATCTGTTGCATTGGAAGGAACATTATCAATTAGGAAAGCATCAGGATTGATCATTGATGGTTCCAGCTTAGGAGATGTATTCATCTTCAAGATCTGCCGCAGCATGGCTTTTGCTGCTTCATTCATTGAAGGCTGGTACTTCACCATTTGTCCATCAAGAACTTTGCTGCCAAGGTTCCCAACCAAAATTTCATCGTCTTGCCTTGGGAGTCTCCTTTTCTTATTGCTTCCAGTGATGAGCCTATTGTTTTCATTTTGATGCTGTACAAGCTGGGATAAAAATCCGGGACTATGCATAGCCTTTGCCAGGAAAGACATCATTTGCTGCTGCCGTTGCTCCATTCCCTGCATACGTTGCCCAACATTATGCAACTGATTATCTGTTGCTTGCTGTTGCTGCCTCAGCCTAACAAGTTCCTGCATAAGACTGTTCTTATCTCTTTTAAGTCTTTCGACCTCTTCCTCTAGCCCAGGATTTCCCACCTCTACACATGCCCCAACCTGAGAGCTCTGCACTTGAGGTGGTTGTTGTTGATGATTCTGTACATGAGCTGGTTTTCGCCTGCTTACGGTCTTCAAAAGGTGTTTTTGGCCTCTTAGAAACCCTTCATTTGCAAATTCCCATCGGTCTGGATCAACCTTTCTAAAACCCTGCAAATTGAATGCAAAAACATAAATACTAATTCTATATGATGAAAAACTAAAATTTATTTTGGAGCATAAGACAGCCAGATTCTCTCATCTCATGATCTTGTCTTAGGTAACAAGCACCATTCACATACTCGTAGTTATGGTTTCCAACCTCCAGCAGCCAAATGCTGCAGAGCAACTCCTTAGCTTTTGCCTCTTTTTCTACTCTTTTACTATCAAGTAGAACTTCTCCCCTTACGAGTAACAAGTGACAATAGGAGAATAACTATACCAAACAGTGCAGGATAAGTGATTGCAGAATGTTCACGGACTTTTGTTTAAAAAAGAAAATCAAGGGAAATAAAAAATAAAAAAGGGGCACTGAGAATGCATCTCAATACATCTCAACTTGTTCAATCTAATTTAACAACTGAGAAACAAGTTTTCAGTTAAGAACAGACACCTGATTAGAGTAATTCTACATACACACATGACTTATACACATAAAAAATACATACATATATACAAATATTATATACATACAATTTTGATGCCATATTCACCGGTCAGCATATTTACATATATCATATACATAAAAACATACATACAAGTTTTCAGTTAAGAACGGAAACCTGATTAGAGTGATTCTCAATACATCTCAACTTGTTCAATTTTAAAACCTCTAGAAGTAAGAGAAGAGGAAGGGAACAAACCTCACGTGTACATACCCGTTCATTTGAAATACTACACCCCGCTAGTTTTTATTAACAATGCCAATAAGTATTTACCAAAACTGGACCACTACTTGATACCTGTCATCTGTAAGAGTTCAGACAACATGTATCATTACATTTTGTATTATGCCATATAACTAGATCGTCCTTGTACTGAGAAACAGTTTCAACATGTCAGACTATCAAATCAGTAACTAGGTTGACATGTAGAAAGATCAACTACTCGCCTTAAAAAAATCACAATGCCTATCACCAGGTTTTTAAGGAACTGCAAGGGCCAAAAACTTTCTTTCATCAAGATAAGATGGTAATTTCGGGACATTATTAGGAAATGTCGAAGAAAATTTCCATTCCACTTTATACAAAATGGATTCATTAGAACAAAAAATCTCCACGGTCTTACTTTATACAGAAAATATCTTCATCAAATGTAAATTAATGAGCAATGCAATGCACATAAGTAGTCAGCTTAAATTTTTTATCTCAAAATAGTTCTGACCTCTTAACGTCCTTTTTCCTTCTAGGTTTTCACCTGGTTCAGAACAAAACAAAACAAAACAAATTGAAATCTTTTCGACTCGATTACATGACACAGTGATCGCCTTGGACCTAAAGGAACCCAGTGAATGACAAAGAATTCAATTCAATAACAATGGCTTAAATCGTGTGATATAAATCCACACATGCATAACTTATCTTCACAATTTACTTATTTACAGCCTCCAATTCGATAACCCTTTTGCCAAAATAACAGCAGCAAAACCTAATAAAGCATTGATCACGCATAACCACTCCAAATTTCACAGTTCCGATCGGAATCACCAAGAAAACAACAATCAAATGCAGGAAAAGCACAAAATAATGAATATTCAGGAAAGGGAAGAAATACCCACATAAGTATTCAACTGCCTGACGAAGCTAGAGAAGTTGTTGTGCTTGAAATACTTGGGCAGGAGGTCCCTGGAGAACTCGGGGACATTCCAGACGACGAAGCTGTTGTTGCTTTTGCTCCAGGAGACGACGGCGTCGGTGGAGGGGTCATCCACCATGTCGTAGGTTTTGTTCAGAAACGGCGGAGGAGGAGTGTTGGCGGAGTTGAACACCGACGCCGCGTCTTCGACTCTCTCCATGGTTGTTTGCATCAGTGTTTGGGAGAATTGGGTGTTTTGAGAGAGAGAGAGGGGGGGGGAGGGAAGCCCTAGATTGCAGGGGCTGATGAGTGAGAAGGGGATGGTGGGAACTCGCGGCAAGTTTGGGTGACAACAGCGCACACAAGTCCAATTATGTACATGGAAATTGGGTGGATTTACATTTAAATAGTTTTGCTATGCGTTGGCGCCTTGCGGTAAATTTGGGGTTACGGAGGTGAGTGCATTTCGAGATGATATGATGAATTTCAGGTTTGTATTTCATGTTGTATGTTTTGAATTTGATTATGACCGTTGGTAAATTATACGGTGATGGTTAGAGTACGCTGAAATAGCTATGTGAGTCTTCACAATCTTCAAAATAGTAGACTGAGATAGTGAAGTCACAAGAGTGAAGTCACAAGCTGATGGATTTTTTTTTTTCTTTTTCAAAACACTAAATCCTTATGACACGTGGCATTTCAATAACAATTTATAATTGCCAAATGGATTATCCTGTGAACAAGGCCCAATAGTAAATTGGGTACCCAACAACGGAAAAGGATAATTACCATATCATTTTCCTAGGAATCTCAGGGATCCTGTAATCTTAAATCGTGCGGTCAATTTTCGTTAAATATTATTTATATTTAAATTTTAAATTTTAATGATTTCTGACCACACGACGTACGATAAACTAATACGATTGCGGGATCTCTAGGAAAAGGATCCCCAACAACTTGGTCAAGAACGGTGATGTGGATCTCGACGCCGTCTCGTAGACGATGTACTTGGCCATGGGGAGTGTTACTCTTTGTCGTAGCTGTAACTATCTAAAACCTCTCTGGAACTTGAAGTCTATTTTATGCTTTTGAAGGTTGAGCTAGGCCACATATGACTAAACTCAAAATAATTAGTTGTTTAACTCATCAACTAGCTTGGCACACACGTACGTGTGTGGTAATTGACACTTTTGATTTTTTTTATTTGAAAAAACCAAAAACAGAAAAACAAGTAATTGTTGCAGTCCTATTAGATTAGGAATGTGATTGTGTAAATCCTAGTAGATATGAGAATGTATCTTATATTCCTATTAGAAGTAGATTACCTATTAAATGTTGTAATCCTAAATGGTACGGAATTAACTTTCCTTACTACTATAAATAAAGGCACAATGGGGTAGAATAACACACACTCACAATTACACATCTCTCTTCTCTCTCTATATGTTGCACCCTCTCTCTCCGTATGGCCTCCATAATTGTTTAGTAAATTATGCCTACAACACGTTATCAGCACGCTCTTGACGCTGTGCTAAAGAGAGTTTATCTTCAATAAGGGGAGTATTACGTTTTAATCATTCTTTTATGATTAATTTATTATTTTATTGAATTGATCTACATACTATTGATTCAATTTATTATTATTATTTTTTTGTGTTGAACGTAATACAACGCATTGGAGATGCAATTCCGGCTTTCCGAGAAGGATAATCTACAAATTCAAAGGCATTTGCTGTTTTCTGCTAATCATGTACACTTAAAATAAAGTAAGATATTTGAAATGACCATGAAGCATGAAAACATTCCCCATGATGCATGAACCCCCTATGTTTATATTTTCCTTTCGATATATATATATATATATATATATATATATATTGTATATGTTCATATATTTGTTTCATGCATTACGCAATTTTTGATATGTGGAATTTGTGAATCAAAGAAACGAAATAAAATAGAAGCATAATTTTTTGGGTTCTGAAAACCCTAATACTAAAATCTGGAGGAAAAAAAAGAAAAAGAAAAAAGGGGAACTAACCTCGTCGATTTGCTTGGGTTTTGTTGCGTGTGCAAATCAGGCCCTAGGCCTGGGTTTGACTTGCTGGGCCTCTGCCCTTCCCAACAAACAGAGCCAATGTCTTTTTCGTTGGGCTTTCTCATAATCTAGCTCACGCCAGACCAAGCCAGAATGTGTTGGGCTTGTCCCACAAACTCGGCCCAACCAATTAGACCTGGGTTTCTTCTCCTTTTTGCTGCTGGACTGTTCCTCTTGGCCCGTGACTGCAGCAAGCCTGCAAGCTTGTTTGTGCAGATTGATGGGCTGCTTGCAACAACCTTACAAGAGCCCAGCCCGCAGCCTAATGTTGCAGGACTTTGCCTAAAGCAGCAGCCAGCACTTTCACTGTTGGGCTGCCCTTGTTTCCCGGCCTAAAGCCATTTTTTGGCTTGTTTTTTTTTTTTTTCAGCCCGCACCCATAATAATAATAAAAATATTTTGGTGCCCAATTTCACAGCCTTAACCAATTTTAGGGTGTTTCTTTTGTATGGCTTGTAGCCATCTAGCCCAAAAATATGGCTTGAAAGTTTGTATTATTATTTTACTTCTATGATTGACCTATAAGGGTCCTAATATATTGAATTAATTAAAAGTGACATACAGTCCATTAATTTGACAAGAAATCCAAAATTATTGACCTGAATATCACTTTTGGACATTAACGGTTCAATAATTTATTTTTATACTTTGAACCGTTGACATACTTTCGTAGTAATGAAGCTCTCACACTTGAGTTCCCTAAGAACCTCAAATCCACTACACTTAGTTGTATATTGCATTATATGTTCTTGCAGGAACCTCTCTTTTATGAACTAAACGTTCGTAAACTAAATTGAACCTGTAGATTCAAATTTAGTGCCTTTGAAACCCGAAGTTTCAAATTTAGTGCCTTTGAAACCCGAAGTTTTCATAAAACAATACACCCATGAAAACCGACGTTTTTCATAAAAACCATGTCTTAGAACTCGAATGTTCTAACTTTGATGCTTATGGATGATTCATTCCCATAGCACCAATCACAACTTTGTTCCCTCTAATTTAGTGGATTGTCGAACTGTCACAAGTTTGATTTTCCCTAATTGGGATGTTTCTAATAAAAACCACCACATGTGGGGTACAAGCCGTGAATCTCCACTTGACTATCAAGAAGCTGAGAAACCATTGAAGCCAATAATGGCAAGGAAGTGTTGAATAAGCCTCTATCATGATCTTCATTCAAAGACTTATGCCCGAAGCATTACAAACGGAAATACCTCCCGAACGAGGATTCCATGGCTCTTTGGTTCACTCATACAGACCGTTTAATCATGAAAGGCATTGCCTGAAGCACACCATGATTACGTCCATGAATGAGTACAATTCTGAACTTTATAAATCCGATCGAATTTTGGCTAGATAATATTTTTCTCATCCTTTCTTGTTTCTAACTCACTCTTGAAGCAGCAAGTGTAGAAAGCGTAAGTTTACCAAATTCTTGGATATGATTACTACCCCAAACATATGGTATAATCAGGGCCTGCCAAGGTGTGGCATCATGCCCGAAGCGTGATCCTTGGCACCTAAGACGTAAAACTTCAAGAATAAAAGGATAATATTCCCAAGCCTTAACCCTGCAGAATCTACTTCTGTCTTGATGAAATAGATCGTTGGTTATGCATCTGTTCATGCCCCTACCAATGTTGTTGAGGAGTACCATTCTAGTAGTCAATATGTGAGATTAATTTTGCTTCACCAAACACCGTTGGAAGAGCCGAATTTTGACATGGATGGCCTTGTTGGCCGAATCCCTTTAGTAAACTATTCACTTTGTAAACACTTTTTCCATGTTCTTGGATTCACGTTTGCTATTTGTTTTACTTATGGATAATCTTATTGATATTGTCCTCGAATATGAGTTAATTGAATCATGTTTCTTAATACATGTGACCGATTCAATTAAACATGCGATTAGGTAAGAATGTGGGAAAGTTAGTTGTCTGGATGAATGTGTTCTACGCACATTAACTTTACACTTAAATCACATCTCTAACAACGACTTCAGGTCTATCCAACCTGATTAAAAACATTGGCACACTCCTGAATGGTACTAAATTACCATTTAAGGGACCTTAAATTCTTCATGTCGTTGAGGTTTTAAGAATATTCGAGATGACAATGATCATAAATGAATCATTGAAGAAAATAGAGTGAAATACATTTGCACCACCTCCAAAAATGAGCCTGAAGCTTTGATTTGGGGCCAATAGGCTGTCTCCCAACTGGGGCACATGCCACATGTGGCCGGCCTAGAGCTGGGTGATTGAGCAGTTTACTTGTTTTGGCATGACCGTTTGGGACACTTAGGTCGAACAATAATGCTACGATGCATTTACTTACCCGAAGTAAGGATCTTGTGCCTACAAGCACACTTTGCCAAGCCTGCTCATTAGGGAAATTGATATTCTAAATCATCCCTCACAAAGATACGAAATCACCACTTTTCATAAGTGGATTCATAGGAATATATGTGGACTAATCCAACCAAAATGCGGACCATATAAATACTTATAGTTTTGGTTGATGAATCGACAAACTGGTCACATGTTTGTCCACACACATTGCTACTAAACCTCCTGGTTGATTAATGGTTCACTGCCCTATTTATCCCTTAAGAGCAAGTCCACCATTGGACCTTGCTCGGGGGACAGGCGAGAGGAAAGGGCCCGAAGGCCGATGGGTTCGGCTCCAGCGTTGGGCAGCCCGAGGGCCAGGCCCGTGAGGGATTGCCAGCCCTTCAGCCCAATGGGTGTGACGTCAGGCTGACGCCATGCCTGGCGTTGGTTTTTTTTTTTTTAGTTTTTATTGTGTCAGGCGCGTGCCCCTCATGCGCGCGTGGGGGCGCGTCAGCCGACACGTTTTTTTGTGTCAGTCGTACATACGTCCGTTAACTTCATACTTGACTTTCGGTGTCTTTCTTTGCAGAACATCGTTGAACACTGGGGATTGGGCAAAGACGTTGAGGTCATTTTGAGCTCCCGGAACCCTGAAAAAGGCGTGCCAAATCCATGTATCAAAAGATGCCACTACCTCAAAAATGATACTTTTTGCTCATTTTCTGTCTCCATAAACGCCTTACCATGCACTTGGATAATTTTTCCACGTCCAATGCATACAATCAATGCTCCCAATCATCCCAGGAAAACCTCGCATCTCGGCCTTCTTCAGAAGTCTTTCCAAGTCCATGTGAGTTGGTTTCTGGAGGTACTTGCGGTGTAGATAGATTCGATTGCTTCGCAAAACCTCATCAGGGACTCAAGAATGGTTGATTTCCCCA